AGTGTTTTGTCTCATAGGATCAAGGATCATTAAATTAATTTCCCAAAAATCCAATTTTTTTCTTTTCCTCAAAAATTTGGTTTTAGAGTCTATGTTTATAGAATTTCTCAAATTTCAGTCTTTCTGAAAAGTTATTTATGGTTCTTCCCTTTGTGCTATGAAAACAGGATAAAATAGCTTACGACAGAGCTGACTGCAGGGTTTCATCTGCTGGGCATTGTGGGAGAGGGATGATGACATCTTGGATTGATTTCAAAGGGAGCCATAAAAGCTGTATTCGCTTACCTAATTTATTCAGTCTCAAGTCCCTCTGCAGTCAGACCCCTCTGCCACCCCCACTCTGTGTTCAGGATCATCACTGCACACACACACAAAGGTTTTCTCTGCATTTCTCTCTTCCAGAGAAGAAATGGAGTTCAAATGTTACTGATTAAATGAGGGAAGTTGCAGCTTCTACATAAATCCAAATATCCTTCCGAACATCCGTGCTTGCGATGTGTGCAAGTGGTTCAAATTGAGGTCATCTTTCTTTTTAAACACAGATGATTTGCATTTATCATTAAATACTGGAAGCTTACTTTCAATGACAAATGCATGTCACTTAGCAAAATCAGGTAAAAGTGATTCTATGTTTGAAAATCCAAAGAAAGTTTTCATCCGTATATTCTACAGCACAAATATTTCGGGTGTTATATTGCTACCCGTCCATTGAATTTTTTCCTTGGATCCCTTCCACAGTCAAAAGGTATTCTCTGTTAAGATGTATTTTTTCATGCTGTCTGTACCCTGACATTTTTTTTTGAAAATTGAAAAGAAAATGAATTTTTATAATCACATCATTTTTCCCATCTGGAAGACACTTTTTTTTTTTTTTACTTACTGTTTAAAAAACTGTCCAGATCAATACAGCTTTCATGGTTGGGTACTGGCTGATTCAAGTGTGTTAGGGGAATACATACAGAGCTGGGAATAGCATTTACTTCTCTGGCTCTATTAGCTTTGTGGCAATGGTTCGTTAACAGCATACATCATTAATTTAGAGCAAACCCCGCACTAATAATAACAATTGATTTCTTTGTTGAATTTCTCTATAACCCAATGGCACACTTGACAACAAACCCAACTTTAAAGTCCCTTTGGGACTCTGGATTGCATCTTTTAAAACAGTTGTGCCTGATGACCTAACCTACTTGGTATTTTTCTCTCTGCAACATTTAAAATACAAAAACACAATTCAATGGGTAATTGTAATTTTAGTTACATTTTAGTAAAAGACGAGTAAGTATTTTTTTGAAAAAGATAATGAACATGTGACATAAATTTCCCTTCGGTTTGCATGAGTGTAGATTTTGTAAGGATCTCAGAGGTACAGCACGTTCGCAGGTATGAAAACATCATCCCCACCAGAATAACCCACAGCCTAAAGCCGAACATTCAGGGTGCCCACAACTACTCGCTCTGAATGGTGACTAGAAAACAGAATTAAAAGATATGTTTGTTTGGGTATGCAAAGATTTTGAAATCTATGTCTGGCTTTTTCCCAGTATGCTTTCTCCATGGACTGGGTGAAGAATCTTCACACATTGTTCTTGAGGGAGTCAGTCAATGTTTCTACTTCAGTGTCTTCAACTACAGAACTCATGGATAATATCTAAAATGCACATTTTTCAAGGTACATATAAAAGAAAAAAACTACTCCAGCTACCTCTTTGCCCATTGCAAAAAAAAAAAAAAAAAAAAAAAAACTCTTGATAAAGTATAAATCCTGAGCTCACGATTACTGAATTCAAGCTCTGACCGGGTCAACTTGCTCATGTCATAGGCCACATCTGCTAAGCCCCAGGAGCACAAGCAGACAGTGGCCACCAAACTCATGGTAATTGTGATGTCATTAGGAAATGAGACACTTTATTTTCCCTTCTAAGAGCAGCAAGAGGAAATGAGACACTTTATTTTCCCTTCTAAGAGCAGCAAGAGATTAATTTGGCAATATCAGCTATAATGACAGGCTAACAGGTGACAAGTATAGTTCCCTGAGAATCAGCAACGTGTGCCTAACAAGCAGCAGAAACAATGAGTTTGGGAGCATCAGCAACGTGTGCCTAACAAGCAGCAGAAACAATGAGTTTGGGAGCACTCTTCCCAGGCAGCTGATATCTGCCACAACGCCGCAGATAGAGATCCACGCTACTTTTCTAATTTATATATTTTCCAAATTCAGAAATATTAGCAAGAGATGATTGTTTTAGAACATAAATTTCGAAGAACAAGAAAATCAACAAACATTTTGACCTCTTCTATCTCAAGAGAAAATAGGAAAATTTTCCTGATATATTACGCGAGGAAGTGAGACACAATATTCCTGTACCATTAATAGAACCTTTATACATATATTTTTGAGAAGGCATAGGCCAATATTATGACTCAACACAGGAAAGCTAAGACCAAATAAGAATCTACTAACCAAGTACATACATATTATAATGCAAAGGCCATAGGCACTAATGTGTTTCTTGGCATGGATAAGAGTTACCAATATAAGCATTTTAGTCATTGATCTTGTTATATTTTCCTGTTTTATGAACTTTATAATATATGAGTTGTATTTTACAACTTTTCATATATTACTTCTGAATTTTATAAAGTAACCCAATGACAAAATCCCATTCATATTCACTCTGTGGCTATATCTATGCTCTTACAAAGTACAAGGTGTCTTCAAAAAGCTCATGAAAAATGTACATTATGAAAAAGCTACACATGGATTTCAAATCTTCTCCACACCAAAATAGACATATCTAATTCAATTTTTTCTCCAACTCTGTGAAGTAGCCTCATGCACTTCGACCAGATGTTAAAGGTGCTGGAAGCTTTGTCAAGGTCATTTGGCCTCGTGGTGACAAGATAATGAATTTGTATGTCTCAAAATTCTTAGTGAATAACCTGGAAGCAAGTCTGAAAATGAACTCATGACAAATTTTACCTGTTTCATTAAAAAAAAATCAATCCTTGACAGAGATAATATCACTGTAAACAAATTAATGATACCAGTTCACCACAAACGCCAAAAGGTGCACCTGCCAGGGTATGGCTATCAGCTTCATTGTAGAAAGACCTTCAAAGGCCCATGTGTTACAGGTTTGGTCTCCAAAGCCCTGCACTAAGGGTGCTAAAAGGGTGGACACTCAATCTGATTACAGAGCCATAAGATGGAGCCTTTGGGAGGGAACTGGGTTGGGCTGGACTGCTAGGGGCGAGGCCCCGTGCTTAAATCCTGGCGGCTTTACTCGAAACCACAGAGACACAGACAGGCGTTCCCTATGGCCATGTGACAGTCTGTGACTATGCATCACACACCCAGCAAGAACACCCTCGCCAGATGTTTCACATAGAGCCCCCAGTCTTGAACTGTCAACCTCCAGAACTGTCAGTCACACCAAACTTTTCTCTACATTTATAACATTAACTTCTCTCAGGTATTTTGCTGTCCCAATGAAATGCTGATTAATACAACATCCAATATAATTCTCTTTTGTTTGAAACAGAAAATACAATGAAGCCTAACTTATTAGTGACTGCTTGGACTTGCTTAACTCCATTTAGTCAGCTTTCCCGACACAAAGGGGAAGGCTACTGCTACCCATTGGTCACATTACCTGTTGGTCAGTGATTAGGTGTGAGAAGGTTACCAAACATATGCACTTGTACATAAACAAGAGTGACTGTTTAACTGCATAAAAGGACCTGTACATTAAAAATTAAGAAAGTAAGCAGTATCTAAAAATGTATTGACACATGGCTACAAATGTACGAATAGAAATCATCTCTAATATTTTATACCCAACAATGAAACGCAGTGACTTGCACGTAAGAGTTGAAGATATCAGTTTATAAATCTCAGCCCACCAATATTTTCCCTTAATAGACATTGAAAAATACATTAATGAATTTTAATAAACAATAAACACACACTCATTTGAACTGAAAAAAAAAATGTACCAGGAGCTAATAACATTTAGGCAGTAAATTCAATTCTTCTAGATCATGGCGTCACAACCCTACATTAATTTGACTGTGCGATATTCCTAACCATCAGATTAGAAAAAGAAACATTAAAAGCACTACACATTTGGCTCATCAAGGCTCTTCATTCTGAATATTTTAGGATGTGAATGCCTCCTGAGTTCTCATTATCTTTTTTATTCCTCTGCCTTATACTTTTAATTACAGAATCAGAGACAATATGGGATGTTATGAGGCACTGCGTGAATCAGTAAACTACACATTTGCTTATTGTGAATTTTCTTCATTTTCTATAAGATATCCCACAGGGAAAAAAAAAAAAGAGCGTAATCTACTACATAGAATGTGTTTCGACCCTGAAAGCATATCAGGAAGCTTGAAACATATTTAAGAGGAAATAAGGGCCAGCGCCGCGGCTCACTAGGCTAATCCTCCGCCTTGAGGCACCGGCACACCGGGTTCTAGTCCCGGTCGGGGTGCCGGATTCTGTCCCGGTTGCCCCTCTTCCAGGACAGCTCTCTGCTGTGGCCCCAGAGTGCAGTGGAGGATGGCCCAGGTGCTTGGGCCCTGCACCCCATGGGAGAGCAGGAGAAGCACCTGGCTCCTGCCATTGGATCAGCGCGGTGCGCCGGCCGCAGCGCGCTGGCTGCAGCGGCCATTGGGGGGTGAACCAACGGCAAAGGAAGACCTTTCTCTGTGTGTCTCTCTCTCACTGTCCACTCTGCCTGTCAAAAATAAAAAAAAGGAAATAAGAGGGGGCAGTGTTTTTCTTTCTCTGAGGGATCACCAGCCAGAGTGGGCAGGAGTTTTCCATGAGACCTTTCGGCTAAGGAGGTCATGCTGTTGGGTGTATTTCTATGTTCCAGCTGAGCTCAATTACTTTTACTGTAAGGAACTACATTAGTGAAGTTACAATAGCTGTTCTAACAGATAAACCCTAAAACCTCAGTAGCTTAGCACAAGGCTCAGGGGCTTACCACGGCTCTCCTTTCACTCCTGTGAATTCCCGATGCTGTCTGGTCAGCAGTCTCTCTCCAGCAGAGTCAACAGGGGAGGAACACGTGACTCTTGGGCAGACAGCTAGCTGTCACTGCCACCGAAGAAGAAATGTTTCCAGGAAATCTCCATCTTTCAGGAAATCCCGAGTCACAACCACTTAGACGCTGGACTTCAAAATACTTCTTGTAAATGCTGAAATGTTCAAAATGTGGTATCATTAGACACCTGTGATGGAGAACTTCCACACACAGTAAGTCATAGAAGGGTTTGGAAAATCATGATTCTATAGCTAATGGAACACTCCAGGAAGATACAGAAAACTTAAATATAGTACATATAAAAGGACATACGCTACACATAGTTTTTATAGATTGAAAGCACATTATACAAAATTAAGTAGGTTGAGGAGACGACTGATGTATTGAAGGGGACATATACCAGAACCAACTGGTACCATCTCTGACAATGGCATGGAAAGGGTTAAGCCATGGTATGTCAAAGTTGACTCAGCAAATTTTTTTTTTTTTTTTAAATTTCATTTCTCCGCAAGGGGCTAGAGGCCTTTGAACATGGCCATTTCTAAGCTAGGAACAAAGATCAGAGTGGTTAGCTGACCCTATCACCAATTGCATCATGGTGACAGAGATGGATTCTGACACTGGCAAATAATTCCTAAACATCATTCAAAAGGTTTTCCTTAGGGGAAGGGGGCATTCATCTATAGCAGATATAACATTCTAAGGATCAAAATGGTTCACGGTGGGGAATGCATTTAGCCTAGTAGTTAGATGCCTGCATTCCAAACTAGAGGACCTGGGTTCAATGGCAGTTTCCTGCCAATGCATACCCTGGGAGGCAGCAGGTGATGGCTCAAATAATTGGGTTTCTGCTATTCATGCGGGAGACTTGGACTGGGTTCCCAGGCTCTCAGCTTTGGCCTTGACCCAGCTTTGGACATTGTAGGGCATCGGTGTAGTGAATCAGCAGAAGGCAGTTCTTCATTTGTATCAGTGTCTCTAAAATATAACAATCTTCTTAAAAATCTTATGATTCTACAGACAGATCCATCACTGTCCCCCTTAGACCCTGCCAAAATTCCAAGTTATCACAGATTTTACAAAAGGAATGCTAGTATATGTTTGAGAGATAATTCCTTCCTAGTCACTGCTGGAAAAATTAAAGAGACTGATTCTTATATTTATAGTCTTAGATTTAGTGCAACTTGCTACAGTTGTTCACCATTTCACTAACTTTAAAACTATGTGGTGCCAACTATGATCCGGACAGCACTCGATCCTGGAGATACAATATTTAAAAACAAAGACTCCAAAAATAATAGCTCTTCTTGCATGGAACTGATACCCCAGGGAAGAGACAGATGAACAAATATTCCCATAAATACAGACAGCAAACCAACAAGTCCTAATAAAGAAAATATGAGAACGGCGCAATGCCTAACACTGGAGGCTGGGGCAGGTTGTCTTACAGCGGTTTCCCTTTGAAGATGGAAGCATGTGTCCCAGTGACGCGCGCAGCAGGCGTGAGAAGCAGAAAGCTAGGGGTGAAGCACAGACAGCAAGACATGACATGATCTGAAGTTAGGTGGAGGTGCGCCCCTGCCAGGAGGATGGCCACACAGCCTGCCGAGTCGTTCCAAGGATTTTCCCCTTCACAGAAGAACACTGGAAGAAGACTGACTTCAGCAGGTTTGTATTTTGCTGGGGCTGAACAGGGTTCCAGGAAGTGCACGGATGTGGGCAACCACAGGGGGAGCTGTTGCCTTCACCGCACAGGCTCCCTGCGTTTTCCTATCAACTCAGTGGAATTATGCAATGAAAAACAATCACATTGCATGTGTCACCAATTTTCCACGAACAACAACAACACGATGATATTCGTATTTCCAAATGCAATGCATCCCTCGCGCAGTCTGAGATAGACCTACAGTCCCGTGGGCGGATACAGCTCTGGCTGCAGACAGTGAATGCTCCGTTCCAATGTTTCCCTGCTCTTCCTACTCACGAGCTGAAATTTGGTAAAGTAATTACCGTGGGCTACCCCTATCGCTCACTGCTCCTGCTAACTTTGGAATGCTTCGAGGAAGCACCTGGTATTTCTCATGACATGATACTTGGCACCCGCAAGAGGCAACTTTTCACCATCTTTACAGAGAACTTTCCTCTCCATTAGAGAATTCCCCATTCCACAAGCACTTTTACCTAATTCTGAAATAAAGTGGTGTAGAAAATATTAGTCACCACCTAGTCATCCGTATTTTTGCAGAATTGCCTAAATTTCGGAGTTTAAAGAAACACAAATTTCTATACTTCTCGTGGTATAGACACTACCAGATCAGACTTTCTGTAAAACATTTGTGTGCAAACTGAGCATTTAAATTCTAGATCCTAAGATGTATTTCTCCCTGCTGGTATTCTACAACACCATTATTAATATGCTGTGACATGAGACAGCTACAGCATTGCTAGCAAAGCCTTTCAGTGGTAATCCTTCTGAATCCTTTCTCGTAACAGCTGAACGTTTGCGGCACAAAACCAGTGAAACTCACACATGCTGCTATAGAGTAGTGGAGCGATTATTACAGCATTTTTTCCCCAAAGTACTTTAGGCTTTAGATGATTAGAGAATAGTCTTATGTTTTAAACTTCCTGCCAACAATGTGGCTTTTAGTTGCATTGGATTGAGGACAAATTGTAGTATAATGTATGTTGACAGTTTAATAACATGGGTTACTATCCTTGGTGTACTTTATGATGTAATACACCCTTATAGGTGCCCCTGGAGAACTGTGTATGATTTTCAAGGCTCAGAAAATTCAATAAACTCAAACAGTCAGAGTAAGATTTCTGCCTTCTGTATACTTTGGACATTTTCCTAAGAAATAAATAAGTGCTACCCTTCTAAAATATATTTCTGACATGACTTTTCTGTTTTTCTTCTCAAGATGTAGAGGCTAAGATTACCAGGGTGCGATTCTTATTAAATTACACATTAAAATACAAAAAGTCTCTTTCTTGAGACAATAAACAGTCTTTTTTCGGGTCTCGGAGGTAAAGTTCCTTTTCTCTAAAAAGCTGTAATTGTGGTTTTCAAAAATCTCATTAAATATTTAGATCTTTCCGGGCACAAGTGTTTTCTGTTGAGGTTTAAACACTTTTAGACTAATTATTTCTAATGTTTTGACCATTGTACAAATACATGTAGTATTACACAGCATAACAGCTAACAGCATAAAACAAAATAGCATGTCTTACGCACAGAGCTCATGTAATTACTCCTGGATTGGCTTTTCATCAAGATATTTCTGGGTTAAACAAAAATGCCAACAGAATGTATTTTAAAGCAATCTAAAACATTATTACTAAACGTGATTCTAAGGGTAGGCATTTGTTTATTGAACCTTGTTTTCTGTTTGCATTCAGAAGAGTGTAAACATAAGAAAATGTTCAAGCATTCAAAGACATGAAACTCATTATCACTCCAGGATGGACAAATGTGTGAAACTTCAGTGGGTCACAGAAAGGAATACATGCTACAACATCCTATAACAAATATTTTCTGATTACCACTTTGATTAAAAAATATATGGCAATATTTTGATGCCCTAGGCCAAAACAGGAGTTAGTAAAAAGGTCTACAAATCACTATCTTCCACAACTACTATCATTTATTCATCATTTTTAAAAAATGACATGGGAATACAAAGCAGAAAAATTTAAATTTCTAGTCCAAAAGGTAATAAAGTCTTTCATATTAAGTATTCCACATACTACAGAAACTGTGTAAAATAGTTTACATATGCAGGTTTTTTTTTTTTTCATTGCACTGGGCAACACTAAGGAGGTACATTCCTCCTCATTTCTATTTTGTAGATGAGCAAAGGCCAGAAGATCAGTTAATCAGAGACTATGGACCAAGAAGACGCTGGAGCTGAGTTCCCCCTACACAGAGACTTCAGAGCCCATTGCCTCCCACACTGGCCAGGCAACTGATGTAGACTTAAAAACTGATATATGGGTATTTAAATGAAAAACAGCACAAGCCAATATGAAGAATAGTATATGAATTTAGATTCTTAGTTCTTACTTGTTTTCAATAGTATCTGAATTTAGGTTCTTATTGTGTTTTAGACAGCTGTCTTGAAATTCCTTCATTTCAGGGTTCTCCCAAGATAGCATGGCTGCCCCCAACAACTCAACATCACTGCCCTTTGAAATTGTAACCCGGGCAAGGAAGAGTGCTTGGCCTAGCTGGTAGGACACCACTCAGGATGCTTGCACCTGATAGCAGAGTACCTGGTTCCCATCCCGAGTACTCTGACTTGGATCCAGCTGCCCATCAGTGTGCACCCTGGGAGGCAGCGGCTGGTGATGAGTCAAGCACTTGTGTCCCAGGGAAGCCCAGGCTGAATTCCCCACTCCTTGTTTTCCTGGTCATTGAGGACATGTGGGGTGGAAGCAGATGCGAGCTTTCTCAGCTGCAAATTTTAAAAACAGATAAAAATCTTACAGTTCAAATCACCTCCCAGTCTTCATCATTGCTACATTTTCTAACAGTGAATCAGAGCCAACCTGTTTGTGTGTTCCAATGATTGTATACAGAATAATTCTGGAAGGTTCTGGAAGTCCCTGAAAGTTGAGAGAGGGTCATTGAAAAGTTGAACTGCAGACTCCAATGCGAGGCTCACCCCAGGGGAGAAAAAGTTACTGCCCTTGAATTCTGGCCCACATGGACGTTTTTGGTTCCAACGTCTTTGTTGCCGTTTCTAATTTTTTGGCCCAGAGCCCCCATGCTTGCCTCCTCCCAGGGTTCCGCCAAGCAGGCCTGGTTGGAAGAGATCCCAGCCGAGAGCAGAGGTCTGAGGATTATTGAAGTGGTTTTCTTTTTAATCACTTATAAAAACAGAGGCAAAGCCAATCACCAGCCTTGTGATTTGCTCCAAGTCACTGAGCCTCGAAATTCCCCGAAGAAAGCGAGAGTCAGCTCTTTCCCAACAATGTGGTCTTTTCAGCTACTCTCAGGTTAGAAAGCCCTAGAGCTCTGGAAAGGCGAGGGACAGAGAAAAAAAAAAAAAAGCAGTGCTTGAACAAAATCCATAACGTGGAGAGCCCATGCACCCACGTGCTCAAGCACAAATGCCTACACGTCTCTGCTCCTTTCCAGAAAGTTCAGCACGTCCGTTGGTCACTTCCTGTCACTGCCTCTTGTTGTTGTTCTGTGAGGTTAGCAACCAGAAAAGTCGTTTCTGGAAAGCTAAATTAGGAACCAGTGATGAGCCGGACTGCAGCATCCTTACCAGCATTTAATGAACCCATATTGAAGTCAATCCTTCCTGTCACTCTCTCACATCGCCAGTGGGTCCACATGAAGTCCCCACCCCACTCCCAAAACGCCAAAAGATCCCTGAGGTTTCATGCAAAGGATTAATTCCATCTGTGATTTTCAGTCCAGCTGAACACATAGTCACACTCACCTCCACCATTGCACCCCTACTTTGAAAAATTAAATAATCTGTAAACCCAAACCAAACAGGTGACCTTGTCTGTCCCCACTCAGAAACCTCAGCAGACTTAGTCAATAAAGGCTGAGCTCCAGTCACAGCAAGCTTACGCCAACCCCAAGATGAGGGAGTTGGCCATGATCCTTTGAGGCTGGCACCAAGTGGTATAAAACATGATCAAAGGCAGGAAGACTTGCCCGGCTCGCCACGGTGTGTGTTCAGGTCTTGCTGGAACACTGCGGCATTGCACGTGCCTGGTGTTTCCTGGTTTTGAACACGAAGGAATGGACTCACTTCTCAGCCTATTTGAACATCTTTCACTTTCAATCGTCCAGTACTCTAAATCCGCGTCTCCCTCTCCTTCTGCAAAACTATATAAAAACCCATCTGGCATTAGCTTTGCAGTCTCTACTTGAGGGCCCTGTCTTGGAACAGTAAAAGCCTCAAAGAATAACCTCAGGTGACGCAGACAACTTGGGAAAACCCCAAATCCACTGCTTATTTAAATTAAAGTTACAATATTTAGAATTCATCCTATAGGTCAAATAACATATAAAATGCAGCTTAACATTGGAACTGAGTGCCTAATAATTTGGCTGGAAAACTTGCATTACTCAACTTTTCAGCACTACAATGAAATACTGAGCCAAGCTACTTATGAAAACAAAAGAAGTTTAGTTTGGCTCGTGGTTCTTGGAGGTTCGAGGACTCGTGTCTGGTGGTGGTGTTCTTGCTGGGACGGTCACGGAGCAGCACAGGGCATCGCAAGGCAGGAGAGTGCGCATGCGTCTGTCTAGTCTCCCTCTGTTCTTTATAAAGCCACCAGGGGGCTCCACTCCAATGACCTTATCTATTCCTAAAGCTCCACTCTGAACACCAGAGGTCAGATTCAGTGCCGACCTCTTAACACCATTAACATTGAACTTTGAAGATTAAAAACTCCCATGCGAACTCAAGTGCACAAATCATACTTAGCACTCACAGTCTTTATCAACATTGGACAAATGTTGCACATATAAATTATGTTCAAACACATACATAAAACTCAGAACATTTGAAACTAAAGAAAATCCCTATCCTAATGTTTACTGTTCACTGAGACATGATTTTCACTCAATAATTTAGAAACTGTTCTTTTTTGCTTTCTGGAAGAAGAAAATGGTACTGCAGTAACTCACTTGGTCTGTTTCAGTAGGGATGCTATTTGAACTTCTTTGGCTATTTTACTGTTTTGAATAGATTACGAAAAACAAGATCACAATAATAGAATTACAGAAATCAAGATTACCATAACACAGCTTTTCCTAATAGGGGACTCAAATCAACTGAGTGGATTGTCTGAGCCGTGTAGGAATACAATGGCATATACCCAAGCTTTTGGTTCATGACTGATTTCCAAATGAAGTAAAATCTTCAGTCACTACATGGTTAACAAGAGTCAGTTTACAGTCAAGTTGCCTCCTAGTAAGGCCAGACTATAAGGCTGTGATGATCTGTGTGCACATAGTAGCTTTGTACCAAATAAAGGACTGATTGAATTACAATTCCAAGAGCCATTGCAAAGCCCTAAATATATAACTGGCAGGATTCCCCCAAGTTAAAAGTGCTAATCTCCAATACACATCAGCCCTGGCCTGGCTTGGCTTGTTAGGTAAACAAAATGTGTCTTGCCTGTCATTGCCATAAAATATTAATGCACTGGAAGTCTCTAAACCTTGCTAAGCATAAGGCCTATTATCACACTTAAGAGCAAAGCAATCTAATAAATCGCCGGCTGTATAAAAACTAAGTCAGCTGGCGGAGACAGTGATCTCCCTAAGGGATAGTAAGAGCCTCATCTCCAACTACAGCAGCTGCAGTTCCAGAGAAATTATGTTTCTTCTGCTCAGTAAAAATAAATTTGTGCTGAATTCTGTTATTTAAACTCTAATGGAATCGTTCAGAATATCCATACATTATGAGTAATAGAAAATTAACTAACAGAATCATCTCCAATGCTGCCATACAGTAGGCAGAATATCTGTATCAGGCTTGCATTTTAAAGGGCTCAATCTCATGGAAAATCAAGGTGCTTATTTCCATTACCTATTTGGAGAGAGCATGAGCCCCAGTTCATGCATAAATAATTGTGTGTAAACACTGAGTTCTGAGCTGATATCCCTAACTGAAAGACACTTAGTTGTTCAGCCCTGGTGGGAGGTCTGCAGGCATTATGTAAATACACACAATATCATTGCCGTCTACCCTAAGAACAGTTCTAAAACTGCTGTTCCAACTGCTGTTTTATGCTACACCTAACCAATCTCTGAAAACCACGAGAAACATAAATATATTTATCTAACCCATCCCACATACATTGAATTAATTTCATCAACATATTTCCAGTTGGAGAAAAGATCAACAGAGAGATTTTCACAGTTCTTTCACATATTGTTATTTCACTTGAGCCTTATAATAATCCAGTATGGTAAGCACAGTTGCCATGCCCGTGTCAAACATGAAGAAATAGCCAACGTGCCCAAAGTCAACCTGTTTACGGGAGGCGCCAGCAGTTCTCGAATCCAGGCCAGGTTGCACACCACGCCATTAAAATGAACCAAGGTGCTGTTGTCACTTTTCATCTGACAAAGCTGCTGCTTCAAATCTTGACAAGCAGTTAGCATACTAACATGTGATTGTGGCCAACGGAAGGAAATTCGAAGTTCCATGATGAACGAATATTGGGTATGTTTCGTGACTTTCAGGAGTAAAATGCTACTGATCTATGCACACGAAAAAAAAAAAACTTCCACATTCAGAATGCTAGGACGTGAAAATGTATTAAAATGATCTTTTTTAAAACAAATTCTTAATGATTTAGGAATCATAAGCTTGAACCTTTACAGAGAACACCCTCCACCCCTTATAAGAGTTCATTTATGTGATGAAGGAGCTACAGTAAAGGAACACGGGGTTCACCTGTGTGTTGCTTACGGAGGCATCATTCTCAATAAGGCCGTGCCGTATTCTCCATGTGGACAGCAGCACTCCTTCTTCCCTTGGGAAGAATGAAATCATAATGAATCGCTTCAGTTTTGTGAAAATGGATCTGGAAGTTACACCTTTACCTAATTATGATGAAAAGAACACAGTGATGTCAACTTCTCTGAATGCCTGACTCTGATCGAGTTTGTTCCAACAGCACTTACCTGTTGAAATCCAGCACTCTATTGTGCAGAGAGTTAGCTGCCACAATTGCAAAGGTGTTTCAGAGTCAGTGCCCATCCCCAACATGTCCACAACTTTGTGAAAGACCCACAGTCAGGTAGGTCTACAATTGGGATGAACAAGATGCAAATATATTTTTTTTCTGAAATCAAATCTAATCTAGACTCCAAGATACCGTTTTGTTACCCTTGACACAAACAGGGTCTCTTCATTCATCTTAATTCCCCTCAACCTCTCTTTTTTTTTGGTCCCTGGAAAACAAAAAACTCTCTCCAGTCGTAGTGAATGGTAAGTGATCACATTTTGTTGATGCCATGACTCATGCTCTCACACTACGCTGACCCAGAGTTGCGCTTCACAGCTGGGTCTCCACTTTTGTTCCCCTCCTCTGATACCTGTTGAGTTCTCAGGGGCCAGCCAAGCACTCAGTAGCCAGTTTCTGCCTCTCCAAAATTTTCACTCGGAGTGGAAAAGTCAATACAAACAAACACGGTGCTCAGCATTCCCTTCCTCCAAGGATGAAGTTCATTCATTCATAAGCAGCAGAAACAACACAACACTGAGGTTTTGCTCCTGTAAATCATCAGTGTCTCATCCTGTTACAACTACGACACAAACGGTAGAAAAAGGTACAGGTGCATTTCAGCCCAAGTCCTTTAACAATAAAATGTTCACAATCCCATTGCCATGTTTGTACATGACATTCTCTCTTCTGGAACAGAATCACTGAAGTCTTCAAGCTTGGTTTCCAGGTTACCATTTCTGTGAATTAATTTTCAATGTTTCTAACCAAAGAAAATTCTTACTCTCCTGCTTTCCCACATTTTAATATTTGTATTACAGTCTATTTGAGGTTATGAATGAGTCTTCAAAATGTTCATGGAAATGCATATTATGAAAGAAATTAGGGGCTGGCGCTGTGGCACCGCGGGTTAATGCCCTGGCCTGAAGCACCAGCATCCCATATGGGCACTGGTTTGAGACCCGGCTGCTCCTCTTCTGATCCAGCTCTCTGCTGTGGCCTGAGAAAGCAGTAGAAGATGGCCCAAGTCCTTGGGCCCCTGCACCCATGTGGGAGACCTGGAAGAAGCTCCTGGCTCCTGGCTTCGAATCTGTGCAGCTCTGGCCGTTGCTGCCAATTAGGGAGTGAACCATCAGATGGAAGACCTCTCTCTCTCTCTCTCTCTCTCTCTCCCTCTCCTTGCCTCTCCTCTCTCTGTGTAACTCTGACTTTCAAAAGAATAAATAAATCTTTTTTAAAAAAATAAATTAAACTTGGAATTTGAAGATCTTTTTTGCGCAAAAATAAACCTTTATCTAGTTCTACTTTTCCACAAATTTTTGAGATACCCTTATATTGTGATTATCTGTTTACTTATGTGTCTCCTTCCTAGGTTATTATTTATAATTGTATTCCCCCCAGCATGCAGTCTCCACTTGGAAATACCTAGGATGATAATATCAGGATGGCAAAGCAGGGATAACAGGCCAAAAAGAGCAAAGATTGAGCACTGGTGGACCAAGATGAAAACAAACCAAGACCCAAGACTGTCCATTCACATCATCTAGTTCAGCAGGAGGAGTGCCAGCAACAGAAATCATGGGGCACTTGTGAAGGGGAATATCATCAGGTTAACTTTATCCCTTAGATACAAGAAGGTCTCATCGGTTGAATCTCGATACTGATTGCTGATGTGTGTGCAAGGATGGTTAGTAGTGAGAGCAATAAATCCCACCATAAAAGTAGAGACCAGAGCAGAAGGAAGCCAGAGAAAGAGCTTAACCTCAGAACCAAGAATTTCCCACTGAATTCCTTCATAATCACAATGAACTGTACTGTACTAATAGTAGTAGTCATTATAATGATCAATAATAAATACAAATATCCCCCAAAGTCCTCAGCATGTTTTCCTTCATATCCTTTTAGCCAGAAATAAAATATTGCATTCAAATATGTTGATAATGAGGATGAACTTCACAGTGACACACTGGATACAAAAATATTTCAGCTCATAATTTTCCTAAAAAAATTAATCTCAAGACTCCATTTGCTAAATGGCAAAGGGGCATGATCATTGCTGTTGGTTCTTCTTTCCTTCCCTTTCTCTAGTCCCAGAAAAATGACAGCACACTGAGCTTTAATGCAGGGAGCATGTTCCTAGGGTCGCAGGATCATTCCTGGATGCTCAAGGTCAAGTAGACTTTCTTGATTGATTTATATACATGATACACTCCCTGGGTCTGGGTACCTGCCATGCAAAGTCAACAATGCAGGTGGCAAACAAGGACAGGACAGGCCACCTGCAGATGTAGCCCAACCAGGGTGAAAAGAGGTATCCCAGAACATTAAGAGCAGGTAAAAAGATGAGACTAAAGGCAGAGAAGTTGTGAAACCACTGAGACTAAAAATGCCAAGAGAGTGTATGCGGCCGGCGCCGTGGCTCAATAGGCTAATCCTCCACCTTGCAGCACCGGCACACCGGGTTCTAGTACCGGTCGGGGCGCTGGATTCTGTCCTGGTTGCCCCTCTTCCAGCCCAGCTCTCTGCTATGGCCTGGGAGTGCAGAGGAGGATGGCCCAGGTCCCTGGGCCCTGCACCCGCATGGGAGACCAGGAGAAGCACCTGGCTCCTGGCTTCAGATCAGCGCGGTGCGCTGGCCGCGGCAGCCACTGGAGGGTGAACCAACGGCAAAGGAAGACCTTTCTCTCTGTCTCTCTCACTATCCAGTCTGCCTGTCAAAAAATAGAGAGAGAGAGAGAGAGAGAGAGAGAGAGAGTGTGTGTATGCCTTTGCCAGGGAAAGAACAAATAAACAAGCAGCAACACATTTCAGGAAATGATTTCTTTAAAGCCTGGAAATTAAAGAAAAATGTGAGAGCTCAATTTGAAAGAATGTGTAAGAGCAAACGGGATCAATTAGATTAAACTCATACCAAGGCATTTTATAGTGAAAATTAAGACCATTAAGTAAAAAATAAAAGTTTTTGAAGGTCCCAGAGAGGACATTCCAACTACTCTAAGGGAGTTAAGTCAAACTGACATTGAAATTCTCAAGGACATCATTATATCTGAGAATACAATGGAGATCCATTTTCAAAGTACTGGAAGAAAAACGCATTTAAAGTAGAATTCTACTTCCAACTAAATGTTCTATTTAACTCTGAGTGTACAATAAAGATTTTACAGGCACACAAGGCCACAAAAAGTTTATCACACAAAAACCCTTGGACCCGCTCCTCAGCAAGTACAGAAGAAATGCATGCAGAGGGTCACTGCAAAGCCTCAGGAATAAAAGGTGAATAAAGATTTCACAGAAATACTTCACTCTATATAAAAATCAACATCCCTAAGAAAAACAATTCTGAGAGCAAAGGTGGTGAGGAATTAAAACTTGAAACCACAGGTGGGGTGGGGGAGCTCTAACTTATTGAAAGAGAATATATAGATATTTGCAAGCTTAAAAACCCTAATCAAAAAAACTAAATTTCAGCATACATCTTAACAAAGGATAACTACTTTTGCAATCAGAGGATGAAAACTCACTGTTTTTTAGTAGACACCAGGAAATTAGGGAAAAAGGAAAACCAACAAAAACTGTTCATAAATTTTAAAAGACATGCCAGAAATAAACCTCAGCCTAACATAAATACAAATAATATAAAAGAAATAGAAATGATTGTGATCACTGATAAAAAGTCTCTAAGGGATGTTTCTAAAGGTTCAGAAACAGTAAATAGCAAAACACAAATTTCGAAAATACATGATAAAACAGCTACACACAAATATAGACAAAAAGACAACTAGAATAAAAAACAATTTAAGACAAAATATCATTAAAGAGATTCTATTGTGGTATGTATAATTAGTACGAGTCTATAAACATGTAACAATGCAGCCAAAATTGTTAGTTAATGACCGACAGAAGCATAGTGGGAAGGCATAAATCAACAATCACAGTTGAAGATCAGCAACTAAGAACTACTGACAAAATCAAGCAGACCGGAAATGCTAGCATATTTTGTAGATTAAAAGTCCCAACGAATACATGAACAGCAACAGAGACTACATTTTTGCTTTAAGAAAATTAGAAAGGTTAAAAAAAATTAACCAAAGGCCACTAAAAAAGTCTCAACAAATTCCTAAGAATCAATACTATTGGCCTTTATCTACGAAGCAACAAAATGATAAACCAATAATAAAGAGATAGCTGTCTAATTCATGCCCAGAAGGAAATATTTCTCAATAACCCTGGGATTCAGCAAAGGAAATTTAAAAGGGAATAACAAACCCCTTGGAGCAGAAGGATAGTTCCACGTTCATATTTCAAAATTTGATCCTCCACGTAATACAGATTTAATATTAAGTGTAGGTTTTAGCTGAAGAAAAACTCAATGTGGACCAATCTAGTTAAAAACAGACACTGCACGCGCGCACACACACACACACATACAAAAAGAGATTTAATCCTTTTTAATTAAAATATGATATCCAAAACAAAAACGAGCAGATTCCATATTGAATGCTGTATTCTGAACTCCATGCTGCAATATAAGGAGAACTACGAATAAAACTGGAAAAAAAAGGCGCTAGACAGGAAAAACACCCGGGCTCCATGTCTTACTTAGAAAGGTGCTTAGAAGTTTAAGGCAGGGGAAGAATCACAGTCATTTCAGGCCTCACATGCACCAGCAGCTGTCATCTGCCTGTTGCTGGAGCAGACAGATGGCCCATGTTAGTCAAAGGGCAAGCTAATACCAACACCGCCTTGGAGTTACAGTGGGCAGAAATTGCAAGAAGATACAAAAGAAATTACTAACAGTGAATGTAGACTAAAGAGGTGAAGATGTGGCCTCATGGGTAAGCCATCAACGAAGACGCTCACATCCTACATCAGAGTTCCTGGGTTCAGCTCCAGGCTGTGACTCCCGACTCCAGCTTCCTGCTACGCAGCCTCGGGAGGCAGTGCTGATGGCTCAAGTAGACGAGTTTCTGCTGCCCAAGTAGCAGCTGGACTGAGTGCCCAGGTCCTGGCTTCCCCTGCGCCACCTGGCCAAGACACACATTTGGGGAGTCGACTGGTAGATGGGAACACACTCTTTCCCTCTCCTTTCCA